CAGTAATTATAAGGAAAAAAAGAGTATCATTAGATAGTAAAAGGTTAAATCTAAAGTTCTGTCCTTTCTTTAAATGCATAGTACAGATAAATTGCCAGATTATTGTTTTGATATTTGTGCTTATCATTAGTGTTTGGAATTTCTGCATTGTAGGTCATCTACAAAAATATGATTTAAAAAACTTTCTACGTAAATTCACTAAATTGTAATATTTTGGGCATATTAATATGAAATGATATACTGTTTCGGACAATTTCGACATTTTCTGTTTTCTCTTATATTATCGTGCCTTCCTTTTTCTATTTCCAGATTTTGAGCTGACAGTCTAAATTTGGTGAAAATAATCCTATGGCTATCTTTATGTATAACGTTTAAATACTTTTTACACTGAAATTCGTGTTTAAAATGTCTGTAAGAGAAGTCTGTTAGAATTATTAATGTTTGCATAAATACCAAATGTATTTGTAGATATCTAAAATTCTTTGTTTTGTGACACATACATTTATATTTAAATTATCTTGGTGTAGCCAGACGTTAGACATACCTATTTGATTCAGTATAATTTTTATTTGATAAGCCCAGTTTCTTTCCCTGTATGATAGCTCATTATCTGCATCTTCTTTAAGCATATTAATTATACATTGTTTTAAGGTGACTTAAGTATTTTAATCCAGTATTTAAACATTAGGATTTCACGGTCTATTGCCATTGGATATCTCCCTATTTCTCCATATAATGCATCTAGATATGTTGATTTGCGGACACAAGAATCTTTCGAAGAAATTTACAATGTACAAGTTCTATACTTTTACAATCATAGTATTCAAACATTTCTGCGCTATAATTTAAGACAGATCCTACTAATTTATCAAATGGTTTACATTTATCTTGAATTTTTAGATCTAGTTGGTTAAATACTGTAAAAATGTGATGAATGTTAGGCATGATGCTTTTGTGTCCGATTCCAATATCCAATTTAAGGAAATAAGTTTACATACTTGTATATCACTCTTTAGGTAAATATTCTTTATGAATGTACTACAAAATCATAAACATTCGTGGGACATTACTTTTCGTTATTCGCGTGGATATGTCAAGCCAAATAAGATCCAACGAAATTTTATTTTGTTTCCTATAAGATTATTTGCAAAAATTGATCAACAAATTGAAGAATTTACGAAAATGTCCTTTTTGATAAAACCACGATATTTCATGACTACTGAATTACGTGAATTCACAGTAACCAGTTATCTCTTCTACTACCATTTTAACATCTTAGTAGCCTAGTAGGACAAAGGCACTCCTTGTTTGTTTCTCTCAAAACCTGTTCAAAACCTGAACAGTACAATAAGTAAAGAACTAATTGACACAAGGCCTCCAACTATACAGTAAACCTGTTGATCTGTTGAATTTTTTTAATGAGCTGATTTAACACGCAACAATGCATTGGTTAACTGTAACAACCCGGGTGTGAGCGATATCCCCCCCCCCCGACGCAAAGTCACATGGGTAACAATGATCGGTGCACAAACACACCCACAAGTAAAACACATTCATCTGCAAACAAATGTTAGATATTTTCTTGAATATTCAACCATATTCCATCATATTTTAAATTCTTTATCTTAATAAGACAATTTTTCATGGGAATTTATGTCATTACACCCGTAACTATTTTCTTACAACAGCGTATGAAATTACAACTTCACTCATATAATTACGCCAAAATGAGGTCATTTTAACTCGGTTCATTAATAAAATGCTCTAAAATAACGCCATTGTATATCACGCACCCACATGCCAGATGAATTTTCCGGGATGAGTAAAACTAACGGAAACGACAGTCTGATATGCAAGAATAATAATATCTGTCATTTATTATATACTTTTAAATGAAATATTGAGAAATATTGATGAAATAAAATGCGTATTTTCATTTTCCGTACTTTCACTGTAAAAATTTATTTTTCACTGCAGTGAAACATATTTTCCGTATTTTCACTGGTGTCTTGCCGTACTACTTTCTTTTAAATTCTGCCAGTACTCAAAATTTCAGGGAAAGTCTTGCAAATTTTAATGTCCTGAAAGAGAAAAATGTATATATTAAACAGAAAATTCAAGTTTTTTCTATAAATACATGATTTATTTTCATCTTGTGGCATAACAATTACCATATTTCACTCGTGGCTACCGCTACTCATGAAATATTTATTTTCATACCACTCGATGAAAATAAATCATGTATTTATAGAAAAAACTTGAATATCCTCTATATAAACCTCCTTCGAATGATTACTCTTAAAGTTTTAGGGTTAGCAGTAATCCGAATTTGAGATGTGATCAAAATTGTCATAAATCATGCCTTTAACCATATCTTTCAATTAAAAATATATATCGTTCTTAAATATTTTATATAAGAATACGTTTGTTAATAATATTTAATTATTATCGAGAGTTGACCGCAAAACTGATGTAAGTCCTTTTTTAATTCATGCACAAGTTACTGCAGTTTTGCGGTCTGCCATCGATGCCTTTTGTGCTGTTAAAAATAATTATGAACATACAATGTAGCTTACATGTTATCAGTTATACAATTTTCCGGCATTGAATAAATACTGACTGTATTTAAATTGTCCTGACTTGATCCCAGTAATACGTGCATTGCGTATACTTACCGGTGACAAGACTGTAAAATGAATTTTTGCATATTAGGTCACCCCAGTGAATAGTTTTTACAACTTGCAAAATTATTAAGCTATGGAAATAGTCCGAATCAAATGGGGTGTCACAGCACTTTGATACATGTAGTGTGCCTATGTAAATTTTGATCCACCCTATCTGTACTCGTATATAAAGATTCCTGGTGTTTTCTTTTTTTCTCTCTTGCCCATTGGCATTTGCTTGTCGCGCAGAAACACAAAGCATCATCGGCGGAAGATTTGATGAACGACGAAAATAAGCAAAGATTTAAACTTGTAAATTGCTGTGGCTTAGCTGCCAAAGTTATAAAATCTGAAGCCGATCGAGGGAGTGTCCATGTAAAGCAAGCGGGGACGATGAGGAAGAATACTAGGGTGCGTCCCTAGTACGCAATAAAGGTTCGAAAGGCAAGTCCTTGCTCAGGACTGCCTCACCTTTTCATATTGTTTCGAGTAACTATATATTAAGTAGTCTGGATTACCTGCCCTTTTCTCTCCGTTCTATTGAACGGAGAGAAAAAAAAGGGCAGGTAATCCAGACTAATATTTTGCTAATACCTTGTGAATATTATAGGCACGGAGGTAAATTTTCATAAATTTGTGCTTCAAAATTAATTCTTTCATGGCATGACTAATGACATGCCCGGGGTCTGTACACGACTGCGAAAGCTTTTTTTTGTGTCCTACTGATGGAATGACCCTCATTAAACAAAAACTACTTAACTCGACTCTTTTATATTGTATCCCATCTTTGGACAAAGATGACAATTTTACACGACTATTCTATACACTGTCATAGCAACACGACAGCATCACTTTGTGCTTAACATTTTGATAGATCTAAGTCTGACATAAGACAGATAAATCTGACATTAGACAGCTCAAATTCAAATTTTAAACAGAGATTATTATTGCATGTATTTTCTTGTTCCCTGCGGTCTGGAGACCGCAGGGTATTGGTACGCGTTTAACTTTTGAGGCATGGAGGAGCACGTGACCTGTTTTCGGTACATGGAGGAGCATGTGATCTGTAAACCGTACATGATTGGTTAATTGACCTTTTCGAAACCTAGCTAAATAACGTTTGCCGGTACGTTACGGATTTACATGTAGGGAATTGGTCCGAATTACACATAATTAAGAACAAAAAACTATTGCTTGATATTTCTAATTTTCTATAATTATTTTACCATTTAAGGTGGAAAAACTTGAATGATGTGTTTGAAAAATTATCAATGTTTTCTTTAATATTTATCTCAAATTTTACAAACAATAAATTGTTTATACTTGAAAATATACAAAATTAAAATATTCGTAGTGGCATCTGCCATATTTTAAATAGAGATATTTTTCTGCGTAAACTTGTGTGTTTACTTTATTTATTTTTTGCTCGGAATTATTCATAAAATGGTAGGCCTATTTAATCATTTTCTTAAAAAGAAATAATTGTTTTATGTTCGACCTTCTCCGGTCTTCAACGGTCACCAGTTTCCAAAGACCCTCTTCTATTCAGTTGTCAACTATATTCCTGATACAAACGTTTATTTTACCCCCCCCCCCCCCCCCCCACCCCCAAATAATGTTGAAAATAGTTAAATGAAATATATTTAAATCATTAAAATGTTCACCGCAGGAAACCATTTTACTTGGTAAAGTTACTTTGATTAATATCTTAAAACTTTAAATGTATGCCTGCAACATGTTTGGCTCTAACTTTATCTAGTACTTCGTAACCAAAGTAACCATATTTTTAGTACTGCGTACTATATTCACGAATTCGAAAACCTCGCTAAACGCCGTTTCCGGTACTTTCTGTACATAGCTCTGGGGAATTCACCTAATGGAGTGTAATAACAAAACTCTATATGTTTTTGGCCTTTTTTAATCAAAGTGAAATAAAACAGTTATTTCTTTGTAAGAAAATAATTAAATATTAATGTATGAAATAATTCCATACAAAAAATAAATTAAATACACAAGTTTACGCAGAAAATGTCTCTATTTTATTATGGAAGATTCAACTATGACTGTTTTAATTTAATTGATTTTCTTTATAAAAAAATATTTTTTGATAAAATTGTAATAGATATCAAAGGAATGTTCATAATTTTCAAACACATTAACTTTTTTCACCTTAAAATGTAAAATAATAATAGAAAAATAGAAATATCATGTAACTGTGTTATGTACTTCATTTGGCGTAATTCCTCCAGAGCTAAATCCGTAACGTACCGGAAAACGGTGTTTAGCTAGGTTTTCGAAAAGGTCAATAGTCGTGTGCAGCCTAAGGTATTTTGAAACGTGAAGAATGGGAAATAGTATGTCTGGAAAACAACAAAATCAATGACTGCGAAAAAAATACTTTTCTTATTTGCTTTCATGCGGGTATGTAAATTTTATTAAACAACACCACACTTTGATTTATTATTTTGTTACATACCCAACTATCCTCCATTTTCTCAGACGTGACATCATTTTAAAACAGAAAATATACCGATGACATTTCTATTTATAGATTTCAACAAAAGATGAAGAAATGACTGGATTGACGTCAGTACTGTTTATGTACGAGACGGGTACACACGTAACTTCTTTGTATTGACATTCAACAGGTGAGTTTAATTTAATTTTCTACACTACATTTTTGTCAGTGACAGTACAGTTAGTAATGAATAGAAATTTGGTTAGAAAGACATTTTCATAGAAAAGAAATCAGCTAGAACTTGTTCTAACGGGTGTTCTAACTATACTGGGAGTGGGATCCTTCATATTTACCGGACAATCAGTTTACCGGACAGAATCTATTCTGTCGCGAATAGTGCTTTATTTTTGTTCCAATACAAAAATCATCTGGTCTCAGACCACCGTCTGAATTGCACACATACTTTTCCATTCGAACTAAATAACAACAAATCCACTCTCGTGTAAATAGATCTATTAATTCTTCATTTACTTACATGCCAGACTTTTGTTTACTATGTTATTGCATGACCTAGTCATGTTGGGGAATAATCATTTCTGGGTATGCCCGAATATTGAGGCCCTAATGGGTTATTTTTTTAAGATAGTTTTTACTTTTACATTTTCTCTGCGTTATCTCAGCAGACAATCATTTAAAATATTTTTTTAAAGATAAAAAAGTTTTAAATTTAAATTTATTTCCAAAAAAGTATTTCTTTGTGTTTTTTCACAAAAATTTTGAAAAAAGAAACAAAAAAAAATCCATAAGGGAAAAACCCATATTTTTAAACCAAAGGAAAAACTCAAAATGAAATGTAAAAAAAAAGAATTTTCTGGGGTTTTTCTTGAGGCTTTTATTTTGACCAAAAAGGAAAAAAGGTTTTGACCCAAAAAACAAAGTTTTAATTGAAAAAACAAAAAGTTTTTTTAAACATTGGGATCAATAGGTTAAATTATTATAATTAAAAGTGTTATTTTTCCCTTACACCCCAACACAAAGTATATAGACCCCCCTTTTAAAAACAGGTTTTGCCGTTCTATTTTTTGTGAAAATCTTTGGTTTTTTTTTTTCCCAAAATTTATAAAACCTTTTGTCCAACTAATTGTACTGCGCGACGAGATATTGTGCTATTTTCATGTCTGGGCAATATCTCGCCTCTACAAAAGGGAGATTCTGCCCCAGAACGAAAATATCTTAGAATCAAGCTTTGGCACGTCAATATATTTTGACTATATCTTAACCTTGCCATTCAACAGTCGTAGTTCCCTTGCTGATTATTTAAAGATTAATTCAATTCAAAACTTCAAAATATTTTGAAATACAATGTCTGGTAAATTGAGTTGTCTTAACGATTTTTGTCTCTTATAATGCCCTACTTTATTGAAGACACATTTTCAGGGTCAAAATGTTTAATTTTGTGTTTACAAAATTAAAATATATCATCACAGTCTATCCTGCCATTACTAGGTACAGGTGAGTATGTTCTTATTTGTTGAAGATCAAAGTTAAAGCAATAATATTTATCAATTGTCGGGGGTCTATCTATGTGTCAGAGTTTTCTTTCAACTAGTTCTATAATTTCTGTCTAACTATTACTTTATATGCATGAATTTTAACTTTTTATATTCATATGTAAGAAATCAGAGAGACTGATTAGTTTTGTGTGAATGAACGTGTTTGTCCTGTTTCAGATCTTTTTGGAGGGTAATTATTCCTAAATTTTTTTGGTATGGTGAACATGTTCTAAATGTGCTCTTGTAGCTTTAAGTTAAAAATTTTGATGAGTTCTTTGTCTGTGTGATATTAATTTATTTATCTGGGAAGAAAATACATTTGCCAGTTTTTCTCCAACCTACCAGTTGCCTTGAAATCAGCGTGGAGAAGTTCGATGTAATTGTTAGGCTATTTATTTCTCATATACGATGTAAACATGTATTATGCTGTCATCTGGAAAGGTGTAAACTTGTCCTTCTGTATATAATCCGAGAAATCATTTCTTTAAATTAAATTAGGAATAGTATGATACCCAAGACCTTGCCATGCGGGGCACCTGAGAGGTTATATTTGTTGGATGTCTCACCCTCAATAACAGCAGTCTGGGTTTTATGCTGAAGGAAGTCTTCTATCAATTTTAGATCATTACATATAATACCATAGTAATTTGACTTATATATTTTAAATGTTCATGTGATACCTTATCAAATGCTTTTTAAGAAAATCCATTTCATGTATAACATTTACATTCTGTCTGAGTGTTTTGGTTATGAAAACCTACCAAATATTTTTTGATATATTAAGATAATATAGCTGAGTTTGACTTGAACAAGATCATTTAAAGCCATGTTGTAAATTATTAATTCAAATAGAAGTAATTATTTTTAAGAAATGTTGCTAGAACTATTGATTTACAAGATTTTATGCCAGTATTTAATGAGAGTATACGGACATTTTGAATGCCCCATTTTTAGCAAGGGCAGACAGATGGGTCTATAGTATAATGGTATCGTGATAATCACCCTGTATTAAAAACAGGGCATTTGCTGCCAAGATTCCAATCTGATGGTATTTTGCCTAAAGAAAAGTGAATTGCTTAAAATTATTAGAAGAATAGGAGAGATTAAATCTTTACATACATGTACTTTTGAGAAACCTTCAAGACCTGAGGTGATGTGAAGATTTTGTCTGACAGTTGTTTTGTGATACCACTTTAAGTAATATTAAACATGTATGTCTTTGTGGATAGGGTCTTGCTCATTGGTCTCATATTTTTTTTTGAGGTAATAGATGAAAATGCTTAATTAATTTGTATTTTTGGGGATATTTGCTTTAGCAGCAGAATCTGATTATGCCCCCTTTTGAAAAAAAGGGGGTATATTGCTTTGCACTTGTCGGTCCGTCGGTCCGTCGGTCCGTAGACCAAATGGTTTCCGAGTGATAACTAAAGAACCCTTAGGCCTAGGAACTTCAAACTTGGTATGGTGATTGGTCATGACAAGTAGATGATCCCTATTGATTTTGGGGTCAAGGGGTCAAAGGTCAAGGTCACATTGACCTTGTAAGCAAAAAAACGGTTTCCCGATCAATAACTAAAAACCTTAAGGCCTAGAACTTCAAACTTGGTATGGTGATTTGTCATGATCAGTAGATGACCCCTATTGATTTTGGGGGCAAGGGGTCAAAGGTCAAGGTCACATTGACCTTGTAAGCAAAAACGGTTTCCGATCAATAACTAAAGAACCTTAAGGCCTAGGAACTTCAAACTTGGTATGGTGATTTGTCATGATCAGTAGATGACCCCTATTGATTTTGGGGTCAAGGGTCAAAGGTCAAGGTCACATTGGACCTTGTAAGCAAAAAAACGGTTTCCGATCAATAACTAAAGAACCCTAAGGCCTAGGAACTTCAAACTTGGTATGGTGATTTGTCATGATCAGTAGATGACCCCTATTGATTTGGGGTCAAGGGTCAAATGTCAAGGTCACATTGACCTTGTAAGCAAAAACGGTTTCCGATCAATAACTAAAGAACCCTAAGGCCTAGGAACTTCAAACTTGGTATGGTGATTTGTCATGATCATAGATGACCCCTATTGATTTTGGGGTCAAGGGGTCAAATGTCAAGGTCACATTGACCTTGTAAGCCAAAAAACGGTTTCCGATCAATAAGTAAAGAACCACTAAGCCTAGGAACTTCAAACTTGGTATGGTGATTGTTCATGATCAGTAGATGACCCCTAAAACGATTTTGGGGGTCAAGGGGTCAAAGGTCAAGGTCACATTGACCTCTTAGGTAAAAAACGGTTTCCGATCAATAACAAAAAACCCTTAGGCCTAGGAACTTCAAACTTGGTATGGTGATTGGTTATGACCAGCAGATGACCCCTATTGATTTTGGGGTTAAGGGGTCAAAGTCAAGGTCACATTGACCTTGTAGGTAAAAACGGTTTCCGATCAATAACGAAAAGAACCCTTAGGCCTAGGGACTTCAAACTTGATATGGTGATTGGTCATGATCAGTAGATGACCCCTATTGATTTTGGAGTTAAGGGGTTAAAGGTCAAGGTCACATTGACCTTGTAGGTAAAAAACGGTTTCCGATCAATAACGAAAGAACCCTTAGGCCCAGGACTACAAACTTGATATGGTGATTGGTCATGATCAGTAGATGACCCCCTATTGATTTTGGGGTCAAGGGTGCAAAGGTCAAGGTCACATTGACCTCTTAGGTAAAAACAGTTTCGGATCAATAACTAAAAGAAACCCTTAGGCCTAGAACTTCGAACTTGGTATGGTGATTGGTCATGATCAGTAGATGACCCCTATTGATTTTGGGGTCAAGGGGTCAAAGGTCAAGGTCACATTGACCTCTTAGGTAAAAAGCAGTTTCCGATCAATAACTAAAGAACCCTTAGGCCTAGGGAACTTCAAACTTGGTATGGTGATTGGTCATGACCAGTAGATGACCCCTATTGATTTTGGGGTCAAGGGGTCAAAGGTCAAGGTCACATTGACCTTTAAAGCAAAAAACGGTTTCTGATCAATAACTAAAGAACCTTAAGGCTTAGGAACTTCAAACTTGGTATGGTGATTGGTCATGACCAGTAGATGACCCCTATTGATTTTGGGGTCAAGGGGTCAAATGTCAAGGTCACATTGACCTTGTAAGCAAAAAACGGTTTCCGATCAATAAGTAAAGAACCCTAAGGCCTAGGAACTTCAAACTTGGTATGGTGATTGTCATGATTCAGTAGATGACCCCTAACGATTTTGGGGTCAAGGGGTCAAAGGTCAAGGTCACATTGACCTCTTAGGTAAAAAAACGGTTTCCGATCAATAACAAAAGAACCCTTAGGCCTAGGAACTTCAAACTTGGTATGGGTGATTGGTTATGACCAGCAGATGACCTATTGATTTTGGGGTTAAGGGGTCAAAGGTCAAGGTCACATTGACCTTGTAGGTAAAAACGGTTTCCGATCATAATGAAAGAACCCTTAGGCCTAGGGACTTCAAACTTGAAATGGTGATTGGTCATGATCAGTAGATGACCCCTATTGATTTTGGAGTTAAGGGGTTAAAGGTCAAGGTCACATTGACCTTGTAGGTAAAAACGGTTTCCGATCAATAACGAAAGAACCCTTAGGCCTAGGGACTACAAACTTGATATGGTGATTGGTCATGATCAGTAGATGACCCCTATTGATTTTGGGGTCAATGGGTCAAAGGTCAAGGTCACATTGACCTCTTAGGTAAAAACAGTTTCGGATCAATAACTAAAGAACCCTTAGGCCTAGGAACTTCGAACTTGGTATGGTGATTGGTCATGATCAGTAGATGACCCCTATTGATTTTGGGGTCAAGGGGTCAAAGGTCAAGGTCACATTGACCTCTTAGGTAAAAGCAGTTTCCGATCAATAACTAAAGAACCCTTAGGCCTAGGAACTTCAAACTTGGTATGGTGATTGGTCATGACCAGCAGATGACCCCTACTGATTTTGGGGTTAAGGGGTCAAAGGGAAAGGTCACATTGACCTTGTAGGTAAAAATGCTTTCCGATCAATAACTTAAGAACCCTTAGGCCTAGGAACTTCAAACTTGGTATGGTGATTGGTCATGACCAGGAGATTACCCTTTCGATTTTGGGATCAAGGGGTCAAAGGTCAAGGTCCCATTGACCTTGTAAGTAAAAACGGTTTCTGATCAATAACTAAAGAACACTTGGGCCTAGGAACTTCAAACTTGGCATAGTGATTGGTCATGATCAGCAGATGACCCCTATTGATTTGGGGTCAAAGGTCAAGGTCACATTGACCTTGTATGTTAAAACGGTTTCGGATCAATAATAAAAGAACCCTTAGGCCTAGGAACTTCAAACTTGGCATGGTGATTAGTCATGACCAGCAAATGACCCCTATTGATTTTGGGGTCAAGGGGTCAAAGGTCAAGGTCACATTGACCTTGTAAGTAAAAACGGTTTCTGATCAATTAAGTAAAAACGCTTAGGCCTAGGAACTTCAAACTTTGTATGATGATTTGTCTTGACCAGCAGATGACCCCTATTGAGTTTTGGGTCAAGGGGTCAAAGGTCAAGGTCATGACCAGTAGATACTTGATAACCCTTATTAATTGTTTGATCACTGGGTCAGAAGTCATGCATAATTACCTTATCACATGAATAATTGGCTGCTGATAGGGGGCATACATGTTTTACAAACATATCTTGTTTTATCATTTATGGCAGACAAATTGATAGTATAGTCCCATCCAAATGCCCCACTTATCATCTCCTCCCCCTTCATTCTTTTATTACCTATTGTTGATAGAAAATCATAGCATTGCACTTGTATATTATACACAATACAGACAACCTGTCTTTCTAAAAAATGTTATACAATACAGACAACCTGTCTTTCTATAAAATGCACTATGGATGTACTAATGGATGTTCGCTGGTCACTGAAAAGATGTGAACAACATTAATATTTTTTAATTTCTAATGGTTACAACAAGGAATAGCTTGTTTGATAAAAATGATAATGACACTGATAGTTTGATAATTATAAGGAATGTCTTATTGTTTTGATAATTATGAGGAATGGCTCATATGTTTTGATAATACTGTCAATAGTGTTTTTTTTTTTGTTGAACATAGGAGATAAAAACACTTACTTTTGAAGGTCACTATTTGGTATGGCAATTTTTCTATTATTGACAAAAAAAGCTGTTGTATAAGATTATACATGTCATGTACATCTTAAACTTACCATGTGTTTAAAACTTGCTTGAATCATTTATTTAAAAGTTTAATCTTTATTTTCCCTAAATAAAAAAGGTTTGTTTGATTGAGACAGTCCGTATTTAGTTTTCTTGCATGTCAGACAGGATTATCTACCGTTTATACCGGTGCTAGAAAACCCTGTCTTACACCCCCCATGTAAGACAAGTCGCGTGCTTTAAATGACGTCATTGCTGCTCGCCTTTTATGAATGAATTTCGTTCTTAGGATGACGTCACTTAACCGTTATGAATGAAGTTGTAAGTTCATACGCTACTATAAGAAAAAAGTGCGTTATGAAAATATCTGGTTTCGTAATTTCTGTTCTGAAAATAATTGGTATGTAATATGCAAGAAAAAGAATCAAACACCGGCTGTCGATACAGGCGGGAATATCTAGCTCTCGAGTAACTGTTTAAGCGGAAACTCGGCAGAGCCTCGTTACTGCCGTAAACAGTTACCCTCGAGCTAGATATTCCGGTCTGTACCGGCAGCCAGTGTAAGATTCTTATATTCTTTATAGCAGTTACACATACTTGGGCTAAAGTCATATCAGAGAGTGATCCACTAGTGGTTCTGAAATATGATCCAATGTGATCTACTTTGTGGTGGAATGTGATCCAATGTGATCTACTTTGTGGTGGAATATGATCCAATGTGATCTACTTTGTGGTGGAATGTGATCCACTTTGTGGTGGAATGTCATCCCATGTGATCCACTTTGTGGTGGAATGTCATCCAATGTGATCCACTTTGTGCTGGAAAGTGATCCAATGTGATCCACTTTGTGCTGGAATGTGATCCACTTTGTGCTGGAAAGTGATATATTTTGTTGTGAAGTATTTACCACATTTCTTGAAAGAGCATATACATGTACATTTAAAATATTTAACACAGGTTTGAAAAGAGCCTGCATTAATAATGTTAACCTCAATTCTGAAAAAAGGTGCATCATGTCTGATTTAACATGAAAGAAAAGATTTCCACAGATTTAAAATGTTCATCACAGTTCAGAAAGTGATTTTTTTTAAATAAGTATGTTTTAATGCAATATATTTTATATTCCTAGCTTTTAATTAGAATAAATAATTGAAATCTTAATCATTCTCATGGAATATTTTCTTCCTGAAATGTAAAAGGTGAAATTGAATTAAATAAAGTGAGGCAGAAATTTTCTCAACAAACAAATGCAAATTATGTCTTTGACATTGATAGTTTCAAAAAAGGAATTACATTATACATACATTTTGTATTACATTGTGTATAAGCAAATTAACCATCTGAATGCTACATGGGGTAAGGTGTCTTAATGGTTAAGATTACTGAATTTGTTTACCACTTATCCCTCACTCCTATTGGTTCGAATCCTGCTAATGTCCTTGGAAGCTGAGATTTACATAAGTGTGAAATTATGCACAAATGGGGACATAGTAAGGGGTCTGCCTCCCCCAATAAAGGTGGAAAGATGCAATTATCATCTATACACATGTATATAGTGTACTTTAAAACCCCAATTTTAAGTCTGATTTACAAAGGCCATAGACTGGCTTATGCAACCTGTATAAAATCCAGGCACTTTGACAAGACTACAAGTCATGTACTTGTTTACTCAGTCAGTTTTTTAACATGTTCCACCAGAATCACTCTAATTAACAATGGACTGTTCTGAATTCAATGGGGGACGAAATCCATTACATAAATTGAGTATGTTATGTGTAACATAATTGTTTGACTCCACACTTGAAAACAGGATATAAACAGATGTGACATTGAGATAATAAAAGTATAAGTTATGATAAAGTTCCTGTTACTGTAGACGAGTTGTAATCACCAAGGCAAGTTTATTTTATAACTTATATGCTTAATGTTACTTGATTTCCTGTGATGTATCTTGTGATCAAAGTGTCATAGCAGTCCAAATAATAAATGTCATCAAACAGTGTATAGACTGTATACAAAATTATACATCAAAATGTTATAATATGACTGTTTGCTGAATTTATGAAAAAGGTGACCTGATTTTAGGTTCATTAGAGTTGGTGTGATTTATAACCCAACACAAAAAAATCTATTTTTTATGTTACTTGTTTGTTTGTTTGATTGGGTTTTACGTCACACTGACACAGTATAGATCATATAGCAACGTTCCAGCTTTACTGATGGAGGAAAAAAAACAACGAGTGGCTGAATATTTGATGGTTTTATATTGCAACTGCAAACCCAACAATTTTATGTCCTTAAAGTTACAATTAATATATTGCAAAATTAATAATACATGTAGCTGTTATCCTTCTTACGGTTATTTTTGGTGTTAACAAAAATAAATTTGTGAAAATGAGTCATAATGTAAATGTTTAGTCATGTAAGGAAATATCACACATCTTACTTAATTTGTTTTTCTATTCAAGGGTATGGAACTATTGCTATCAGAGTTGTATTGAAGGAAGTATATAAAAGATACAGGTGAGAGAGCTAAGTGATTTATAATTTTACCATGGAGAATGATAAACTTACCACGGAGAAACATAACTTTACCATGGAGAATGATAAAATAACCATGGAGAAAGATATACTTCAGACAGAGTTCAAAAAACTTACCATTGAGAAAGATAAACTTAACATGGAAAATAATAAACTTAACATGGATGAAGATAAACTTACAATGAAAAATGATGGGAATAGAGTTATAGATAAAGTGAATGGAGCCTTGACTGGAAACTTGCAAAAGAAAGAAAAGGAAACCTCAGATGACCCATTTGAACATGAGATAAAGAAAGTTTTGATGGCAGGAAAAAATCTAAAGAAAGAACTAACAATGAAAAAGCCAATGGGGCTTTGACAAAAACAGTGAAAGCAAAACATGTGAACATGGGGGATAAAACATCATCAGATCATGGTGAAATGACAGCACAGAAACAAGCACCCTCTTATAGTGAAGCAAATTATCTGAAAACTCTAGAGTGGATGGAAGCAAGTTCAAAAGAATCATTTGAAATCTACAGTCGAACAAAACGTAAGTTATATGATTTACACAATAAACCTCGGGCCAAGAATTACAGTAAACACAAAGAAATAGCTTATGATTTTTCAAAAAAGAAACCTGATGTTTATTTGTTGGATACATCAAAATTCAGAAGTGATGATATTGGAAGTAACACTGACAGTGGTGAAAATTTAAGGTCTGATTTGCAGACCAGTGATCCAGATGATAATGTCCCTCGGTTGACATTGTTACAGCTGTCTAAATCAGCTGAAACCGGAAATGTAAATGAAGCACACAAAGCTGGTTTTAGAAATGAGAAACCGATTCCAGACAATGTTCCACCTCCCCCACCTCTGTTAAGTCTTGACAGATCATGCTCACTGCCACAGGCTCCATTACCTCTTGAAAGATCATGTTCACTGCCACCAAGATCCTTGACAACAAGTGAGTCGCAATCAATCCCTGTTCCACCGCCCCCACCATCCATTCAATGGCGACCACCTAATCAAAGAGGCATTGTAACAAGGAGTCCGATAGTCAGACCAAAAACAAAGCAGTCTGATCTGACAGACGCTGAAGAACAATCACCAGGACCAAGTAGTAATCAAGAGAATGATGATGATATTGAGCTAGAGGTAGCTCGAGAAGTGTTTAGAACAATGATAGGCAATGTTCGGCCATTTATTCCGATGGGTGAAAACGAGCCAAATCCAGACAGAATGCAGTTGGAGGAGCTTCAAACAGCTATCATGGATTTAAGATACCTTGAACAGGCCATGTTTGAAGCAGACGAGTTCATGGATCTTGACTTTGATGAATTTGGTGGTTTTAATTTTGAGCTTCCACACTTCAGTGAAAAGAGTGTTGAACCTTCTTTTGCAAGAGGCGATGAAGTCATTACTGAATGTTTGATATGTTATGATGAAGTGAAGTTGCATAAGCGACTTTGTTGTGATTACCCAGCCTGCGATAACTGTATGGAGCAGTACATAGAAACTAACGTTACACAAGGTGTCGTGAAAATCCCCTGTCTTGGTCATGAGAGCTGTAATGCTTTTATATACAGAGATGAAATTCTCGGAAGACTTTCAGTTCCAATGAAAGATAAATACTATAAGTTTTTAGTCGACGCTAACAAAGATCCGAAGGTCAAGACTTGCCCGAGGTGTAGCAATATAACTCAAATAACAGACGAGCAATCAGAAAAGAAAACAAAGTATGGCCTGTTAATCACATGTTCAGAATGCCATTTTGATTGGTGTTTTGAATGTCAGGCACCATGGCACAATGGGATCAAATGTAAAGAGTTCAGGAAAGGGGACAAATTGGTGAAGTCATGGGCAAAAGAGAAGCACTATGGCAACACAAATGCACAGAAGTGTCCAAAGTGCAAAGTAAGTCTATATTTTTTTAATCTCTATATGTTAGTTACCAAATTGTTTCTAATATTTACTTTAATTGTGATTTAAGTAATACAAGAGGGTCCCTTCGCTTAGTGGTTAAGGTCAATGCTATTCACCCCTACAGGCTAAAATCTTGCCATTGACATTGGATTCTTTTATGTTAGTTATAGGCCTACAGCTAGTATTATCACAGGGATCATTCTGGTCAGGATTTTTAGTGAGAGATTTTCTCTCATTTGAGAAATTTTAATGAGAGAAATAAGATTTTCTTGAGAGATTTAATTTTCATATGGAAATTTCTAACTTTTTAAAATCACTGTACATATAAACATTGTTTATCTAATGAGGATTATAGATGTAGCTCTGTTTATTACAGTGATTTTTGTTTTCACTTTTTTGATTCACCCTATGCCTTTTCTTTTGTGAATTTTTAAACATAATAAAATTCTAATTGTGTAAAATAAATAAAACACTTTCATTCTGAAATATAAAAGAATTATACATGGATATCTACTACAACTATTATTTGCAGCCAATGTTCCTAATGGACAACACTGTACTGTACAGAAGTGATTGTTGAGATTTGAAGAATATTTTTTATAACCTTACATTTTGTTTTCTTTATGATTCTCTTCACACACCTCCCTCCATTAAAAAATGTTCATTGAATATGTGACCTGAACACATAATGACAAATATCTCCATATCCACAAATATAAACAATACCTAAAGTAATTATGTCTCCCCCACCTCGGGGGGAGACATATTGTTTTTGCCCTGTCCGTCCGTCAGTCCGTCCGTCCGTCAGTCCGTCCGTCAGTCCGTCCGTCAGTCCGTCCGTCCGTCCATTCTTCGTTTCCGGACGATAACTAGAGTTCCTTTTGACCTACAGCCCTCAAACTTCATAGGATGATTGGTCTTATAGAGCTGATGATCCTTATTGTTTTTGGGGTCAGTAGGTCAAAGGTCAAGGTCACACTGACCGTTGGTCAATTTCTCGTTTCCGGATGATAACTAGAGTTCCTTTAGACCTACAGACCTCAAACTTCATAGGATGATTGGTCTTATTGAGCAGATGATCCCTATTGTTTTTGGGGTCAGTAGTTCAAAGGTCAAGGTCACAGTGACCGTTGGTCAATTTCTCGTTTCCGGATGATAACTAGAGTTCCTTTTGACCTACAGCCCTCAAACTTCATAGGATGATTGGTCTTATAGAGCAGATGATCCCTATTGTTTTTGGGGTCAGTAGGTCAAAGGTCAAGGTCACAGTGACCGTTGGTCAATTTCTCGTTTCCGGATGATAACTAGAGTTCCTTTTGACCTACAGCCCTCAAACTTCATAGGATGATTGGTCTTATAGAGCTGATGATCCCTATTGTTTTTGGGGTCAGTAGGTCAAAGGTCAAGGTCACACTGACCGTTGGTCAATTTCTCGTTTCCGGATGATAACTAGAGTTCCTTTTGACCTACAGCCCTCAAACTTCATAGGATGATTGGTCTTATAGAGCAGATGATCCCTATTGTTTTTGGGGTCAGTAGGTCAAAGGTCAAGGTCACAGTGACCGTTGGTCAATTTCTCGTTTCCGGATGATAACTAGAGTTCCTTTTGACCTACAGCCCTCAAACTTCATAGGATGATTGGTCTTATAGAGCTGATGATCCCTATTGTTTTTGGGGTCAGTAGGTCAAAGGTCAAGGTCACACTGACCGTTGGTCAATTTCTCGTTTCCGGATGATAACTAGAGTTCCTTAAGACCTATAGACCTCAAACTTCATAGGATGATTGGTCTTATTGAGCAGATGATCCCTATTGTTTTTTGGGGTCAGTAGTTCAAAGGTCAAGGTCACAGTGACCGTTGGTCAATTTCTCGTTTCCGGATGATAACTAGTGTTCCTTTTGACCTACAGCCCTCAAACTTCATAGGATGATTGGTCTTATAGAGCAGATGATCCCTATTGTTTTTGGGGTCAGTAGGTCAAAGTCACAGTGACCGTTGGTCAATTTCTCGTTTCCGGATGATAACTAGAGTTCCTTTTGACCTACAGCCCTCAAACTTCATAGGATGATTGGTCTTATAGAGCAGATGATCCCTATTGTTTTTGGGGTCAGTAGGTCAAAGGTCAAGGTCACAGTGCAGTGGGGGAGACATGCGCTTTTTTACAAAAGCATCCTCTAGTTTTTATTCATAAACATCATTTTTAGTGTTATAAAACACCTTTGAATAACACTCAGCTTCCTTTTAGTATTTTTTTTTAATCACGACATGGCGAAAATATGTGACAAATGAATATTTGTCTGTTTTCC